CGCAAGCCGAGGCTTCTGGAGCGCGTGTGGCCCACCACTCTTGTGTCTGCACTTGCCCCATCACACCTGTGCACATATATATATATATACTAGAACCACGCGCGCGCTTCGCGCGCGCGTAGGTTCTAGCTAGGATCGTCACCGTCGTCATCATGAACATCACCATCGCCATCATTCCCCCCGCCAGGGCTAATGTACATCGTTTCTGGATGCTTCTGGCCGGAATACGAAAGGAGTTTCTGTAGTTAGAGTCTCAGGGGGAAGTCGCGGGGAAGCTTTTGTTGTCTTTGGTGTTGCGTCGCCAGGAGGTCTGGGCTCCCTCCTCCTCGTGTTCCTACCTCCTCTCTGGACGTCCGATGTCGTGATGCTTTCTGTGCGCGGCCCCTGGACCTCTCGACGACTTCCTGGGGATGTGTTTTTTTTCATCCTGAGTCGTTTTCTGACGGTCCCGGGACCCTGCGAGGGGCCCCGGAGGCCGAAAATTGACCGAAACCGCCGTCGTGATTTTTCCAAGACGTCGGAGGTCCAGGTCGTGCTTCCCGCCTCCCCAGACCTCCGACGTCGTAATTTTTGCGACCTCGGGCCCAGGAATCGATTGGGAAAACGCACATGGGAAGGCAAGAAATGATGGACCCATCATTTCGTACCTGTGCCTTGATCAGTGGGACGGGCTTCGCACCGCCGCACATCACAAGACACGCTCGAGCGGATCCAGCCGTGGCGACGTCGGGGACTGCAGAAGGTCGCAAGGACACGGAATCTGAAAGGAAGAAAGAGAAAGAGAGAGAAAGAGAGGGAGAGAGAGAGACAGACAGACAGAGAGCGAAGGAGAGAGAGAGAGAGAGAGATGAGAGAGAGAGAGAGAGAAGAAGACAGAGAGGGAGAGAGAGGCAGAGAGAGGAAATGGAGAGGAGGCGAGCTTGAGTCAACGAAAGTCGCAGGGAAGGGGGCAGGGGGAAGAAGGCCAGAGAGCGCTGAAGGATACAAATACTGGAACCCTCTTGGGATTTTTTGGGGGGCCTCGTCCGGCCGCTCGCTGGGAGTTTGACGTAGCTTCTTGTGAGCCTCTGAACCTGTCGGGGGCCTCCTGGAAGCAGGTTCGAAGCATTGTGGGGGCCGATTTGGGGCTTCTCGGGGCCTCCTTTGGGCCTCTTGGGGGTCTCCTGGGGCCTCTTGAGGGGCCTCCTTGGGGCCTCCTGGCGGCCTCTTGGGGCGGAAGGCTCGAGCTTGCGGTTCGTGGTCCCCCTCTGGGCCCCCTCTTGGGCCCGTCTTGGGGCCCTCTTGGGCCATCTTGGGCGCCTCTTGGGCCGTCTTGGGGCCCTCTTGGGCTGTCCTGGGGCCCTCTTGGAAGCTTCTTGGGCCGTCTTGGGGCGGTCTTGGGCGCCTCTTGGGCCGTCCTGTAACGTCGGAAAGCCCAAAAGACAACTTTGTTGAAAATGTACGTTTTACGAAGGGAATGGGCCAATTTTTGCGTCTAGGGGCCCTCTTGGGACGCATGTTGGAGGCTTCTTGGGGCCTCTTGGGGGCGTCCTTGGACGTCTGGAGGCCATCTTCAGCATCTCGGAGCCCTCTTGGAGGCCTCTTGGAAGTTTCTTGGGCCGTCTTGGGCGCTTCTGGGGCCGTCTTGTCTGACTGGGGAGGCCTCCGGCAAGCCCCGACGAGCCTCCGGGCCCCCCGGGGTGCACATTTGTGGTCGAGGTCCCGGCCCCGGGCCCCCGGACCCGGTGCGCCGTTATATGTATATGTATATATGTATATATATATATATATATATATATATATATATATATATATATATATATATGTTGCACCTCGCTTGCCCGTCCAGGAGGCTCTAGCGTGCCTGGCGAAGCCATCGGCATCAAGGTAAGCACCCGCCTCGACGCGTGCAGCACTGCGGCCGCACGGCTCAGTCGAGAACGGGGCCAAGCAAACTGCCTCTGAAGCCAGCTCGGGCCCCGCTTGCCCTTTCCACTTCCCTTGTCGGAGTCAGAGCCGAAGGCTAATTTGGCAACGCTCTTTGCAGCCTTGCACCACGGGCCGTGATCGAAATTTATGTCAATACCGATACCACGAAACAGCTGTGCCTCACGCGCTCGGTTGAACATCATCACATTATCTTCGTCCGAGGGAATAGCGAATATCCAGTTCGCCATCTCGATCACAACTCATCATCACCGCTCATCGTATACTCGATCTTGAAGCACCTCGACGCACGAATCTTCGGTGGCGTCGCCGATGCTTCCTGACCCAGCAATAACAAACTGATCAAGAAGGGTCGTACCTGCCGCGGGCGCGATGTCCGCCAAATCCTTCTTATCTACCCTGTCCGCGACCTTCTTGAGGATCACCTCCCCAGACTCTTTCTTGCGGGCGCCTCCGAAGCGGAACAGCATGCCCGAAGACAGGGCCACCGGTTCCTTGCCGAACGGGTTGCCCTGGTACTCTACCTCATCGTCATTTGCTTTTTTTCGAGCGCCCACGCCCGCCATGTCGCGCTGCTTCGTTGCCCGGCCCATCGCCTTCATGAAGTCGTTTTCCGCGGGCGCCCCCAGTGCGAAATTCTGCGCGGGGCGCCGTGGATCGCGCGCTCCTCGCCCAGCTGGAGCGCCAGCGTCGCCGTCGCCTCCGTCAGCTGCAGGTCCTGGGCCCGCCTCCTGCCGCCTTTCACGGCCTCGACCTCTTCCTCTGCCCTTTCTTTTTTTGCTTTTTTGGCCTTCCGCTTGGGGTCTGCCTCGCCCGCGGCCTTTAGCGCCGGTCGGCCAGGGGCGCCGCGCGTCGCTCGCAACAGGCGTGGGCGCTGGCGGGGCCGCTGCAGATGCCGCGCCGCCCAAGCGAAATGGACAACGGAGACAACGAAGATGCTCGACCACAGAATCGCGCCGGCTAAACTTGGCAAGACAGTGGGCACACTCTTTGGCACCGCGGAGAACAATGTCAAATTCCTGGCGCATTCTAGCAAGATGGATCTTCGCCCCGCGAGGACCCGAACACACTGGGCCACACTTCGGACAAGGCAGCTTCTCCACATCAGCGCACTCAGTGGGAGGGCCTTGAATCAGAGCAAAGCGCTGAAGGAGGCGCGGGGTTCACAGGCGAGCCACTCTACCCAGGGTCTGTCGAGGACGCCATGCTCGCGCACAACTCCGTGCGAACGAGCGCGAGCGCGAGACTCATCAGAGGCACTGTCGGAAATCGCCTGGAGGTCCAGGATGAGACGCTGGAGCCGAGGGCTGAAATAGACACGGGAGCCCTCGAACTCGAAACAGCCGAACACAGCAACACTGACGGCGACAGTCGGGTCATCATCTCCGGCGCCCAAGAGGGGATCTCCGTTCGCATCAGAAAAGATAGGGGCGACAACCTTTTGCGTCCACCAGCGTCGCCGAACAAGAGAGGCATGTTCAACGCTATGAACACGTCGCTCACGTAGATCATCAGATGAAACTCTAGATATGCGCGCAAGTAAACTAGCAACATGTCGCAAGCAACGAATATGGGACCGCTCGACTTGTTTCAGGCCCTCAGGACTAACGCGTCGGACCTCCAAGGCGCACATGCAAGATCAGACCAACGCAAACCACGCGCGAACCTTCAGCTTGAGGGAGGCGGGGGAGCTGGATCTCGGCAGACGGGCAGCATGCCCATGGCGGGGCACGGGGGCCTTCTTCGCGCGGACCTCGACTTCGACGAGGTCATTCCCAAGGATATTGATAATTGAGCCCAAGTGCTGAGCCGCGACAAAAACTTGCACGGGGGCCTCGGAGACATTCAGGAAGAACTTGCCCTGAGGATCTGCCTGTTCAAAGACCTAGACCCCGCTCCGAGGGCCCCCGCGGCGATCTCTTGCTCGGACACGTTGACTCCGAACCCCGCCCCAGACAAGACCTTGCCCGCGTTCGTGAGGAAGGGGGGGCGATCGCGTCAGCGTCGGTGAAAATCAGCATCGCGCTAAGGTCGCCCATGAAAACAGTCTCACCCGAGGAGATGGCATCAGGGAAGCGCGAATCAAACCCCGAGAGACTCACGAGATTGGTGTCGAACGTCGCCATCGAGGAATGATCGCCACGCTCACGCTGAATACGACGGAGAGTAGCATCGTGCAATAAGATAAGGCACGAAGGGCCCTCTGAGGAACCTCGACGAACACCTAGCTCACTATTCAGACGTCTCGCGATGCGACCAGTTTGTGCATCACAAAGCAGAGTGCACGCCCCATCATGAAAATCCCAGAGCAAGAATGCAATATCTGCTCGAAGAAGCAACTCACGCATAGACCCCCAGAGATAACGGCGGTCGATCTTACAAGCTTTGGACATATCGGAAAGGCCTTCACTTAACATGACGAGGGATCAGTCGCGCCCCTTGCACTTTGCGATCTTGAACGCCACAGCCGCCGCTCTCCCGATGCCCTCATCAACTATCGCAATGGCATCCCGCGTGCCTCGGTTGGGGGGCCCACCGAACTGGCGGCTGATACCGCGCGCGATCTCACCTTTCGAGTATCCAAGAAACTCCTGGATCATCTTCTTGCCCCAGTGGCTGAGCATGCTAAGAGCAGGGTAGTGCTCGCCAGCGTCGGAACCGTCGCCCTCGCGTGGCTCGCGAAGGTAGACAGCCTCTCCATCTTCGAAAACAACGGAAACTGGCGCATCCCAACCATGCCAGAACTCGCCACTGCCAGAATAGGAATTACTCGGGCGCTCGCCATCCTGAACAACTCAACAACTGCGCCACGGCACGTCCGAGACTG